AACTGGGGATAAAAGTGCCAAATGATACCTTATACCCACCCTGTATATAAAGTATGCATTACATTAATGCACCCACGTTCTTCTGCACAGCTTTCTCTTCTTATCTTTCTTATCTTTATCTATTTATATTTTGAAAGTACTTTATTTCTCTGTGTGATTTTTGTGTGATTTGAATAATTGTACATTTGTATATTTGCATTTGTACGTGTGTATATTTTATGCACCAACTGCACCAGGTCACATTCCTCGTATAGGCGTAAAAAGCTAGCTTTGTCATAAACAAAAATCTTGATCTCTATTCTGATGTTTGTTGACTTGATGTTTGTTGACCTGATGTGAGTCCTTTTCTTGCACTGGGTGGCAGCACACGACAGAATCTGCGTGTGAGCTGCTTTGAACCTCAGCTGAAGAAGTGAGCACTACATTCAGTACGCTGCTGCCTCTCAGCGTACCGAGCAGCATCCAGTGGACCAGTCTGTCTACAATTTCTAGTCTTTTCTCTAACATTTTCTGTACTTATTTCTTCTACAGTGACAGTTATTTGTGATTTCTTTCCCCCCTCACAAGGACCGCTTAAGGAAGACCGAGAAGAAAACCGAGAACGACTGAGACTAGAGAGTTTTTTTTTTAACCATCCCTTCGGTCTGCTTGTTAGCTTATTTGCCAAGAGAGTTATTTTCTGCGGTCCGAGGAAACATGAGCTTTCTCTTGTGAGTTAAAATCTTGTTGTGGGTTGCTTATTTTTTTTGCCATTTAGCTTTAAATTGGGGGAAATATCAGCGGCGTTATCATTGCGCAGCTAGCTGACTAGCCATCGCATAATACGGGATAAGACTACTTCCTGGACTCGCCTCCGAATCTCTGCTGTGACTCGCATTGTTTTCTCTGGATGTTTTATTAGAACCGACACCAGAATTGACGCTGTATTGTGTGTAACTTACGAGTAGCTGGTGTTGTGTTCCGCTTCCTAACTTCTAACCTCCACAGTGCCGACCCCAGAGCAGCTGTTAACTAAGAGGGGTTGACAGTCAGGCCTGGATATTTGCTGGCGTGAACACTTTGTGGCCACGGGCTTAATCCAGCCTCGATGTGACAGAACGCACCAATCGATCAATCTGTTGTGAACCCGACATTTGTACCAAAGTAACACGATTGTGTGGCTGATATTGAAAAAAATACGTGCTGTTTTTTGGGTGAAATGAGAGGCTGGATGTTAAAAGCCGCCCTCTGGTGAGGAGGTGAGTCTTGTTGGGTGAATGGAAGAAGAGGTGACGAATTAAAAGCCCCCTCAGACTCCAGAAAAGCTTATACTAGGTTTAATTGGCTCACACTTTCTTACACAGGCTACTCCATGTGTTAAAGTCTCCGTTATAGAGTGACTACACAGCTTAAGTGTCATCACAAGAGACTCCTTTTAATGTTTATCTTGGTTTCCATCAGACACGAGGGCACAGAGACACATTTGATTAGGTACAGCTGATTCCTAATCACTTAATGCTATCAGAAGCACATTTCAGCTGGAGGAGAGGACACGGACATCCTTTTATTTCCAGACCTGGGTATTTGGTTCAACCGCAGTTCTGTGCCCTAAGAAAATAAATATAAAGTCCTATTTTCGCAAAGGGATACAGGACGTCGAGTTTGATATCTGCGGATTGGTTTGAGTAGTCGTTAACTGTTTTCATGTGTGGCCTGCCATGTTGTGATGGCTCAAAAATTCTTGTTTAATGGGGCAGTGAGATGGATTGAATACAGCACCTCTCCAAATGGCCTCATTACGCACTATACACACAGAGACATACTGTTCTGCCCCCCCTCCTCCTCTGAGTCTGCCAAACCCGTCAAGTCAACGAGAGCTCGACCTTTTTGTCAGCTTTTTAAAAAGATCCTGGCTTTTTTGTTTTGTTTTTTGTTTGCTAAAGTTCCTCACGGTTTGTCATCATGTCTTGTCTACCTCCTCTCTTTGTCTCACTCTTTGAAATGTGACTCACAGTGGAAACCGTTCATCCAAGACGTTCAAGCCCAAGAAGAATATCCCGGAGGGTTCTCACCAGTACGAGCTGTTGAAACATGCAGAGGCCACGCTGGGAAGCGGAAACCTGCGCATGGCAGTCATGTTGCCCGAGGGCGAAGACTTAAACGAGTGGGTCGCAGTCAACAGTAAGTGCAGATTTCACCCCATTTCTCCCTTCCTTTTAGGTTCAGACTTCTGGTAGAGGGACTTCACCTTCACACCCCCTTTTTTATTTTTACATCTGTAGTCTGAGGCTTTATATTTGCGTGCCTTCTCAGTACTTCTGTTCCTGAAAACTCAATGATCAAGAATCAGTTGAGAGTGAACTATCAAGAGCTTGGCATTCCCTCTAAGCACCACGTGCATTCATGCTGGAAAAAACCACTGTGAATGTTAAATAGACTTTATTGTCTGTGCTCTGAGAGCCTTGTTTACTTTCCTCTAAATTGAGACAAATGGCCGGTCAGTAGAAGCTTAATTTTCACTCGCGTCAGAGGGCCTTTAGGATTTTAGATGTGCAGTGTCTCTTCGTGTTAGCAATTGAATTAAGGTTTTATTTGAAGTCCTTTTTGCTACAGTTCAGTGTAAAATTTAGATTTGACCATATTTTACACTAGTTTGAAACAGATCAGTTAGTTTTTCTTTGATTTGACTGTTACGTTGTCGTTCGAGTCTCTTGATAGGTTAGTTGCAGTTGATCTGAATGGACTGCATTGCAAGGTACTTCAAAGGTTTTGGGTTTTGGAATCCTTTAGTAGCATACAAAAACAGGGAAACTAAAGCATCAGGGGGATGGTGGTTTCTGTGGTTCTTGTCTATTAGTTTACTCAACAAGTTTAGGAGTTTTCTAGCTCTTTTAACTCCCCCTGAGAAATGGTTTTGCTGCGTCAACACTGCAATACTTGCACTCCAGTTTCATAAAAGGCTAGTGGAAATGGATCAGTGTTACTCAGTGCTACATGAGCTGTTTTAACTTGCACAATAAAGGGAAGTTAGAATAGCTTCTCCCACCACCAAGTTTATGTGACTTTCCTCATGATCTCTGTTCACGAGAAGCTTCATGTTTTAAGATTCTTTTTTTGGCATTTTGCTTGTGATGGATTGTGACAGTAGAGCAGCTGGTTATGACACACAGGGGGTTATATGGTATGCATCGTAACCACTGGGCCACCTTTGGATTTCATTTTATTCTGGGATTTTCATTCATCGCCTGAGCATCTTTGATGTTGCTGTAGCTCTCTGTCTCTTTGCATACACCTATACACCTTTATGTCTAGGAAAGTCTTTAATGGTGTCATTAAAGACTTTGGCACAACAACACACGTTATTTCTGTTTTTGTATGAAAAAGATTCTTTAATCAGAAAGATTAGCTGGGTATTGCCTTGAAATGTAATAATTCTGCTCTCCCTTTTAGGGCTTTTAGAACCATGTCGCAGGCATTAAAAGCAACAGTGTCCAATATGTATTTATAATCTTTCAAAGTTAATACTAAGCCGTGGCCCTGATACAAGTGTTTTGGACAAAAATAGCTTTATTGAGTAACCTTATCAAACATAAAAGGGGGCTGGTGTCTCCTTAAACAGGACCTCGCACAGAACATATGCCACATCAGCTGTTCACTATGTATTTTTTTTCGGTGAGATTAGCAAATGGAACACTAGCACTGCCAATACTTTAAATGGATCTCTCCAACTGATGGAAAGCCAAAGTTGGCTGTATGCCCCTGGGAATGAGTGATAACACAATTTATTGCAGATAACTGGAGTGTGCCCTGGTCTGGTCTACAGTTTGGACTGGGCAGCGGAGTGGGGTGGGTAAAGGGCTGTGGGGAAACTTGATGCCAGCTATTTGTGTTGGCACACACGGTATTTAGTCTCATGTACACTTGATTTGAATATGCTCTATTTTTCTATTTTCAGCTGTGGATTTCTTCAACCAGATCAATATGCTGTATGGCACTATCACAGATTTTTGCACAGAGGAAAGCTGTCCGGTCATGTCTGCTGGTCCTAAGTAAGTGTTATTGTTGTATGTTATGCAAGTTTGTAGTCTTATAAACCCAACCCAGAAACTTTGCTTCACTCATGCTGGCGTGTCGAGGCTCAGCAGCGCGTAAAGTAGGGCTTGTCAGTCGGACAAAAAGATTTGGCTCAACTAGCATGAAATGTGACAATTACATTTAAATTAAACTCAGAATGCTGCACAGGTCCGTAGCAGAATGATGTGCTTCGTGACTTGCATAAGCAATTTGTAAATGTGGCAGTGAAAATGAAATCAGAAAAATACTGTACATTAAATGCAATGCCTGACGAAGATCTTGTTTCTCTTTTAAATTCCATTTGCAGGGAGCTATCAGTACAGTTTGCGGATCTTTTGTCTGACCTAGATGGAATCCATAAATATTATCAAAATATAATGTTTGTCATCTATATCTCTTGCAGGTACGAGTACCATTGGGCTGATGGAACCAACATCAAGAAGCCCATCAAATGCTCAGCTCCCAAGTATATTGATTACCTCATGACCTGGGTGCAAGACCAGCTCGATGATGAGACACTTTTCCCTTCAAAGATCGGTATGCTTTGTGTCCGTTTTCTCTGTCCTTTCAAAGCCGTCTTTTTCTCTGTGTGGGTTTGATGTGTTTTATGGTTTCTGTTAGTGCTCAGCTCCAAAGAAGATCAACCTTCAGGCACCTGCTGAATATCCAGTGATTAGATATGTGTCGATCCTTTTACCCAACGTCTGTCTGTCTGTTAGGGAAAAGGGCTCTACAGCCCACAAAAGCAAATATTACTTATCTTGTCTATGAAATTCAACTGCCATGCAAAATGAATGGATGTAAAAACTAATAAAATGTAAATTATGCTTGTAGATAAAGTGTTGATACTCAGAGGTTTCATGTTGAGTGTAATTTAGCCTGAAACTCTAAATAAATGGTAGGTGCATTAAAGTTAAAGGTGTGTGTGATGGAAAAATGGAAAGTTGGTAATGGAAGAATTAATTATATGTGGATGGATTATTGGTTATCTATTGGTTAGAGGAGATCGTCTGAGTCAGCTGTAAGCAAGAACATGTAAATATCGTCTGCTTGCTTATTTACAAATCCAGTAATATTTCACAAATACCTCCAGTTTAATTTCCTCTGGTTAACAGTGTGCAGGGTCCTTGAACCAGGATAGAATTTGCATACATACCAACACGGTTCTCAGCGTCCCAACCAGCAGAGGCTTGAGCTGTCTAGGGTGGAGCATTAATAGAGTTGGATGGCAGCCAGCACAAATAAATGTCTCATCTTCTCCTTTGTACATCTCAGTGGAAGGAGCTAACAGCCCCTTTAACGCCACTGTTCACGGTGGGAATGTGGCGTCATTATGTCGCCATTCTGTGTAAAACGTACAAACATGGAATGGTGGGGCATTGTCGTTCCATCTCCGAGCTGTCAGCGGTGGTAGTACCAGAGTCAAATCCACTTGTGTAAAAAGCGTGGGCCAGCAGGAAGAGAAACGGTAGACGTCACACTAGACGCAGACATTGTTGCGTTACACGTCACACCTCTTTTGTTTTTGGAACACCGGCATGCATGTTATCTCAAATCATAGACCGGGGCAGCATTATGCCGGTGTAACGACGGGTCCTCTTTACGGCAGTATTGCAGTATCTCTGTTTAAAAGGGGCTAATGACTAAGGCGCTCATCTGGAGGGGCAGAATGTGCTCAGTTTTCCCACAATCATTACATTTGTTACCGGTATCCATTTTGTACCAGGAGGACCTCCAGCGATCCAAGTATTTCGTAGTGTGGGCCATGTGCTTGTCTAGCCCTGTGTGGTAGCTTTAATCAAGAACTCCTTGTCCTGTCAGTCACCCTCTTCTTTTAAATATTTGATGCTGCGTTGTACTGTAGCTACTGTAGCTCTCTGTACACTGTAGGAAGCAGCTCCACCAACTGTTCACTGAATCATAGAACTGCGCAACACATCTGAGGCGGAGAGAGCAGTGCTGTTGTTAACTACATGAGAATTTTCCACCTACGGGCGAACACTTGACACATTGTTACCATGAGGTGGTTACGTGGTGCAGTCATGATTGTTTGCACTTCCCTTAAATCGTGCTGTGGCCTGCCTGTAAACACATTCGCAATCCAGAGAACATACTGTAGCCGCATCTGCCCTCATCGCTCTGAGCTTATGAGGCTTATTGAGGCGAACAGTGTCAATAGATGGAGGCAATGCATTCTCTGTATTGAAACTATGCTTGAAGAAACCAAGCACGGTTTATAAAATATCCAGTATTTGGGCATTTGGAAAATTCAAAGGGAGCCTTTTATCTTTTGTTGTATGTCTGACCCATTTTCTTTTTCACCCTCTTGTTCACAAGGCGTCCCGTTTAAGCGAAACTTTATGTCCGTGGCAAAGACCATCCTGAAGCGTCTGTTCAGGGTCTACGCTCACATCTACCACCAGCACTTTGACTCTGTCATGCAGCTGCAGGAGGAGGCCCACCTCAACACATCATTCAAACACTTCATCTTTTTTGTTCAGGTAAAGAATCTCTGACATTTGTATGTGCTTTTCACTTGAGCTATACTGTATGTTGTTAGCAATAATAATGTAGCATATGGTGGATAAGCTGATAACATTTGCTTCTTCTCCTTTTCCAGGAGTTCAACCTCATTGACAGGAAAGAGCTGGTCCCGCTTCAGGAGCTGATTGAAAAACTGACAACCAAGGACAGATAAACAGCAGTGTAATCCTTATTTTATTGGTCTTCTAGTTTTTGCACAGATACCCACCCCACCCTGGCTGTATGTATGCAGTATATACTATATTTCCATTTGGGGAAATGTTTTTAATAAGGCCAGGACGAAGGAAGGGTCTTGATAGATTTAAGGCACCAGGACTAATGCAATCAGGGATTACACGCTTAATTGAACAAACCACAGATTAACATATTGGAGAAAAAGGTTTTAGCTGTATGGAAAGATCCCCAGTATTCAGTCAGGGCTGACATTTAGGAGAATATAGACATATGTTCATTAGTTTTCTATTACACTGCACAGATGTTTAGTTTCATTTGGATTTATGGCAACAGGAGGCATGTCCATGCTTTTAGATTCCCATTTCCAACTCACCCACAGGGAACAATAGTGTCTAAGCAGAGTTGCTGTATTATAGGAGGGCTTTGTTGGTGTGATGGTGAAAAATTAAGCCAGGCCTTTAAGCCAGTTTATTGGCAGTAACTAGCTAGTTATTTTATGAATTAATCTACATAGAAGGACCTGGGTTGCAGTCTACTACTGTTCACATCTGTTATAACCCACATCTTTCAATACAAAAGAACCCTAAGTGCCTCGCATGGCTCATAATTGCCCTATATCAACAGTGAGAACTGTAACAAGATATAACGGCCATATAACACTAACTTGATTGACAAAACATTAAATTTTCCACGTCACCTCCCTTTAAGTTTCTGTGGTTCTTAATTCTCTCTTGCATCCCTTTTTTTGATTTGTACTGTAACTTGGTTCAAAAGTGGATTTTCTCTGTAAATCCACAGTCACCAACCATGTCCTTATTTAGTTAGAAAATCTTTTTACCAAGTGTTCTGTGCAGGTTATGATAAATGAATGTGTTGAAGGACATAGAAGTGAGGCTAGAATATTGTTGTAGCAGGGACTAAAGAGGAACTAAACTTTTAGCATTTTATAGCGACATGTTCCTGTGTACTAGTTTCTTCCCCCAAAAACACTTAAAGTAGAAACAAAATTTTTAGGAAAAGTCTTCAAGGGATCTAAAACCTTAAATTGTATATAAATGTTGGGAAATGGACTTAGAGACCTGTGTTTAAAGTCACAACCTCCACTGTTTAAAAATACAAGTACTTTGAATTGGATTATGCTGCATCCCTTGTTATCTCACGAGCCATAAAGCACTTTGAACAATTTTCCTGACCTCTCTCGCCTGAATGTTTATTCTGCATAGACCGTGCTTTGTGAGAAGCTGTGTCATGTGACTGATCATAGTTCCTCCCTCATATTTCCCCCAAATGAATGTTGAATTGCTTAACCGCCGCTGAATTTGGCTATAAGGCACAAGTGAGATTTCTTATGCTTTTTGTATGGTCTGAGTTGTTTGTTGCTGTGCTTCAAACAGCAGATGCATGCCCCCTTCCCAATCTCAAAGTGTAGTTTACTATGCAATAATCGACACTAAACACTAAAAGGGTTACCAGTTGGCTCGTTCGTACTTTATCTATTATTAATTTTCCTTTTAGAGTGCTTAAATTCTGGTGTTTGATAGAAATAAAATTGCTTCTCTTTCAGGTTTGGTTTCAAAAACAGTGATATGAACATTTTATATATCTTCTTATCTGAAATTTGTCAGAGAGGTGTAATGCTTCAATGCACACATGTACATACTGAGGGTTAGACCTGTCTTAAAACTAATTTTCAGCGAGCATGGAGTGGTAGCTTTTGGTTTAAAGAATGCATCGAGTCTTTTTAGAGGCTGCTTCCCCTCCCTTTATTTGGATATTAAGATATTGTTTGTTTTAATTGTTGAGTATTTTTTTCCACTTCCTTAGCTAGCTATTATGAATGTTACTGCTCACCAGATCTCCGAAAAATGTAATAGAAAAATCAGTCATCCTGAAAGCATCTCATCCTTATGAAATGCCCATAACATAGCCTATTACCTACAGTTTTTCCTCCTTGACTGTAATAATTGATGAAATGTTTGTACATAATGGCTTGGTAGGGGTTTTCAATGCTACTGAATTCATTTATGCTGTTTACAAGGCAAATAAAGGTGGTCTTGACTCTTTGAATGAATTGTATGTTTACTAAGTAGTGTGTGAGTAAATTTACTTTCTTTAAAGTACTGTACTTTTGTGGTACTTGTACTTTACTTCCGTTCTTTTCTTCTACTCTATGGTCCTTCATACTGCGTTTCCAATACATTTCACAGGGCAATATTGTACTTTTTACTCCACTACATTTACTATGCTGTTAATATTCTCTTTAATTAACAACGTTGAAGTGCTGCTTAAGTGTTAATGCATCAATAATTCACAACAGGTAGATGGGCATTATGCATAATGCATCCTTTATTTTTGATAAGTTTAGTACATTTTGTACATTTCCAATGCAGGGCCTTAACTTGTGGTAGAGTACGATTGAGTACGATTTTAAGATAATTGAGTACAGTCTTTACATTTAATGCTTGTGTAGTTACTTTTCAGATTCAAACTTAAAGTACAAAACATGATGAGATTATAAAATATTATGTATTATTATAAATTAAAGTACCCATCAGACCTGAACACTATGAAATAGTTCCACCTGAACCAATAACATTTAATTACTGCATACATTAATTAATGAGTACATTAATAATTGTTTTATAAATTTATAAAAAGTACTTTTGATACTTTTAGTACATTTTGTACATTTCCAATGCGGGGCCTTTACTTGTGGTAGAGTGCGATTGAGTACGATTTTGAGACATTTTATGCTTATTTATACTTCTCCGCTGTATTTCATAGGGAGATATTGCACTTTTTAATCCACTACATTGTGTAGTTGCAGTTTGTAGTTACTTTTCAGATTCAAACTTGAAGTACAAAACATGATGAGATTATAAAATCTGTATTATTATAAATCTAAGTACCCAACAGTAATATGAAATAGTTCCACTTTAGCCAATAACATTTAATTTCTGCTTACATGAATTAATACGTTAATAATGGATGTATAAAAAAAGTACTTGTTGCTGCTAATACTAATACACATTCCCATCAGTGACATTTTTAATGCAGGTGCCTTTATTATGACTTCAACCGCTCAGTGCAACAACAAAGACAGACCAGCTGTTGTGTTGGGGGGGGGGCCAGACACGTGGAGAGGGCAGCAGCTGCTTCCTGGGCGGAGCCACATCTGTGCAAACCGCCGCTTCCTGAAGTTCGTTACCGCCAAACTTTAAACAACAAGCAGCACCGCAGCAGCTGCAGCAGCCCCCGCTTTAAATAATACGGAAGCCTCGTTTATTTGCTCAAAATGTCTTTTATTCCGAAGAGACCCTGCCCCGACCCGCTGGACGAGCCAACGAACGACTCCATGAACGACTCGATGGAGAAGAGGATAAAGCGGATATCGATCGAGGGGAATATTGGTGAGTGCAGCGCTTTTTAATGGCAAAAGCGGAATTTCACATGAGCCAACAAGCTTAAAACATGAATAAAAGCTGCCGTCGTTGGCAGGTGGTGCTTTACACGAGGTAAACTAAGGTTAAACTATGAATTCAGACTGTGTTACCTCTTTATTGACAGATATTAACTTTCTAATCTTACCGCCAAATTTGGCCAGACTACTGTTAATGCCTGCACACAGCTATTAGTCAGTGCAGCCGGTAAAGTTTGCTAATGTACCTGCATAATGTGCTGCAAGGTGTCTTAATTCAATCTGCTAACATCTCTGCACCCTTTGTGTTCAGCGGCGGGCAAGTCCACCTTTGTGCGCCTTTTGGAGCAGGAGAGCGGGGACTGGGAGGTGGTACCAGAGCCAATCGCCAGATGGTGCAATGTCCAAACAAAAGGCAGTGACTTTGAGGTATTAATACATAGTTACAGTATTCCTACATTATAAAACAATGGTCCTAATTCAGTGCTGTCAGCTGACACCCATATAAGACTTACAGTGAAGTTACTTTAAATCAGGTTAGTGTTTATAAACTGCATTTTAGCACAACACTATAAATCAGAAATTTCAAGATGCACTTTGGTGCTTCAGAGGAACAAGATCCTCCAATCCTCCGGCCACTGATTCAACGTGCACTGCACACGTTAAGATAACTGGGAGAGTCTTCATCTGTATTTAGAGTGCAGCTGCCATCTGTCCATATATCTGCACTGGTCCCCACCACCACCGCACACCCAGAGCAACAGATGGTCCCACTCTGGACAGATACACATGCCATCACTGGGTCAAACATCTCTAACCTCCCACACAACTGCAGGCATTGCCTCACCCTCGGGCTTCTCGTTTTCAGTGGGTCAACACTTGATATGTATATATCTGATACTGTAGTCTACCCAACGATACTTAATTATTTTAATCAGGTAAAATCAGATTGTATTATGTTTTACTGTACTCAATATTGTGGGTGAGTCATTTATGGATTTTAATTGTTCTATCTCTATTAGAAAATAGAGAAATGCATATTTGTTTCACCTGGACATATTTAGTTTACTGTCATAGAAACAAAGAAAAGCAGCAAAAATTCACATTTGAGGAGCTGGAATTAGAGAATCTTATTGGTTCAAATGACCTATTTATCATTACTTTTTGTTGTTGATGAATTAATCAACTAATCATGTCCTACTTTTATTGTATTTCATTATTTTGCCTACTAAATCTGTTAACATTACCTAAAAATAAATAATAGTAATAATAATAATAATTATAATAATAATAAAATGGTGTTCCAGGACTCAGTTTTGAAGAAGAGACACTTTTATATTTAAACTGAGTTGTGGGGGGGTGCCTTTGTAGCTCACCTGTACATGTGCCCCCATGTACAAAGGCTGAGTCCCAACGGCCAAGATTTGAGTTCAACCTGTGGCTGCATGTCATTTCTGTCAGTATTATTGTAAACTGTGCAAAATGGTACTGTAAAGTGCATTACACACTATAGTACAGTGTAAAATGACAGTGTGGGGGCATTATAAGTATGCACAGCTGTTAAGGAGTCCTCTAACAAGGCCAAACTCTGCATCGCACAGTGTGTACAGCTGCTGTAGTTTGATCATGCGCCCTCTGCTGATCATGGGACAGTGAGTTCTGCAGAGCTGTGGGGTGTTCAACGGTTCAACACATTCATTCATGTAGCTTATCACAGGTAACTGAGTGGAATTTGGAAAGTTTGGATGCTTTATTATGTGTTAATTTTTCTTTAGTCATCATAGGTATGCCCTTTTTATATTGGCTGAATGAGTTTAAGAAATTCCTGCCTGAATCAATAGTCTTGGATGTTGTGATTTTCACAGTAAGTATAAACGTGACATGTCCAGAGAGTATTAAAATCCTAAAAATAAAAATACATTGTGGGGAATTTTGACATTTTGTAGACTAAATGATGAATTGAGAAAATAATCAGCGCATTAATCAACAATGAAAACAGTCTTCAGTTACAGCCTTAGAGTGAATACAACTAATGTCACCTTACAGCTTGATATAATGTCTATAAACCCTAGTCTATACATATCCACCAGCCACTGCAAATAAAAAATGACCACATTTTCACCAATGTGATACTTATACTTACAAATACTTGGACTGTACACTAGGCTATAATTGCAACCGATTTTCTGATCTCAGTGGGGGAGGTATTCACTTTGAACATGTTTTAAATTCACCCTATCCCTTTTATGTTCCAGGAGCTGAGCAACTCTCAGAGGAGTGGAGGGAACGTATTGCAGATGATGTATGAGAAACCGGAGAGGTGGGCCTACACCTTCCAGAGCTACGCCTGCATCAGCCGGGTGCGTGCCCAGATGAGGTCAGCCAATGGGAAGCTCCGAGAGGCCGAGGATCCCGTGCAGTTCTTCGAACGGTCCATCTACAGTGACAGGTATCAACAAACGTGTAAACATGATGAAAAGAATTCAATACATTTTTAATTAAAAGGGCCATCCCAGGGAGTTTGTATATTTTAAGACTTAACTACAAATCACATACAAGTATGAAAATGTATTTGCACAGACATTAAACTGAATCTATTATTGTGAGTGAAAACAGAGTAATTTGTCAAAAATTCACTAACAAAAGTAATTTTTCAACCAAAGACATCAAACATTCTCTGGCTCAAGCTTCTCTAATTTGTCACTCTATTGCTTTTTCTCATTTCTTTCATTGTAAACCTTTTGG